AAGACAATCATCGCGGAAGGGTCCGTGGAAGCAAGATATTCCGGAAGTGCCGACCAAATGGAAACTAGTCTACGCGGAAGCTCCGCGGAAGGTCGCGGGCGGAAGGGTTGTTATTTCTAAAGAAATCAAGAAGGAATAAAAACCATTGCTCACTTGGCGGTTGGGCACTGCAGCACTGCAGGATACTCTGCGGTTGGGCACCGGTGAGTTGGGAACTGCAAGGATACTTGGCGGTTGGGCATGGCAGGGATACGCTGCAGTTGGGCACTGCAGGGATGCTTTGCGGTTGGGCATTGCGGGGATATTTGGTGAGTTGGGCACTGCAGGGATGCTTGGTAGTTGGGCAATGCAAGGATACTCTGCAGTTGGGCATTGCAGGGATATTCAGCGGTTGGGCACTGCAGCTTTTCAAATCTAACAACACCCCTGCGAGGGTGGGGGAAAAAATTCTCAGACGGGTGGTGAAATTTGACAACTGGATCCTTTTTGTGATGGGCAGTGAAGGTCAGCGGCGCGACTTCAGTGGTTTCAGCGATTGCCACCCTGTAATTTGAAAAGGAGGTATCAGAAGGCTGCCCGTTCAGGACGCCTGCTCAACCCCACGCCAGAGCAGCGAAAAGGGTCTGAGTGCTCGCTTGCACCTATGTTGCCCCCATTGCAGATCGAATGAAGTTGTGAACGTTTTCTGATATAAAATGACACCGTTGAAAAATGAAGCAACCGTGCATTGCATCTAATTTCGTGCTGGGCTCATGCTTCAGGATGTCAATCTGGCGTAGGTCAAAGATTGATAGGCAACGACTGGGCAAGTGAGTTGAACTATCGGGTTCCTTGCGTTGTTGTAGCGCTATTACCGGGCAAAGACTGGGTGATCTCACCGAAGCTTGCTTAACGTCAAGACTTGCAGAAGATGAAGTAGAAACAAAGCTGGTTCTGTTTGGTGCGTTTGTCAGGTCAAGGATGCGGTTGCAGACCGCTTTGAGATGGTGTCTCCTAGCCGTCCATTTCGCTACACGGAGTTCCTGGCAGCAACGGTTGAGCCTTGGTTGCACGTAACCTTAGAGCCGAGTGCAGTACGGGGCCCGCAGCTGCTTGCATGTGTATTGAATTGGATAGTGTACGGAAGCAGGATCCAAGCTGCTACATGAACAGCAAGCTCCTCAAAGCTGTGTTTAACTACTTCGATCGTGACAGAGATGGCCACATCTCACTGCGGCCGCCTCAGTCACAACATAGCGGACTGTTCATGCGTTGGTTCCTTTGTGCCCCTCAGTCAAACGAGCCAAGATCTTGAAGCTGTGCTGGATTTCCCAAAATGAGGTCAGAACTTTCCAGTGGCCATTTGCTTGGAGCGCTGTCGATGGAAGAGCTGCACGAGTGCCGGGTCTTGCACTGTCGGAGTTTTTCTCCCTACTTTCTGCAGAGCTTTGTAGAGTGAAGGCTGCCTCACAGATGACCTTGCCTGTCCATTAAGTGACCTGACAGTTCTGGAGCTTTTGAATCGCAGCTCTTGTTTTGCTTCTTTGGGAAATTTGCAGCTTTGCCAGGGCTTGCCCGTTCTGTGGTAGGTTAAGGCCACCTACACCGCAGACGGGCCTTTGCATGCTTTTGGAAGCCGAGGATCATGACGTGGTGTGACGAGAACGGGAACATGCAGACACAGAGCTGCAATTCCCAGCCCCTCAGGGAAAGCCAATTCCCTTAGATTTCATGTTGAGCTGACCGCACGCCGTCTTTTGTAGGATGCAACCAGGATTCCACAGCCGTTTAAGTCTGTTAAAAGATCGTTCACATTGAATCTCATGTAGAGAGATGGAGCTTGCTGGGGAATGAGAATTGGAAGATGTGGAATGCTTTGATCCAGCTATACACAGCAAGCCTTTATAGACAGAGGGATTCTTGGGAATAAGCGCCCCTTCATCCGTAAAAGCTGTAGCATGTCTTCTGCAGCATCAAGCCCTTCCCCGGGGATTTAGTTATGGCAGCAGACCGTGCGCAGTTGAACAGCAGAGCCATGCACAAAATGTAACTGCATATGCGTGATGCCTTGAGGATCGAGTTCAAAGAGCAGTGGCCTCAAAATTGCAATGCAGGGAGTGCTGTCTGGGATGCGCTTCCTTTTCGCATCTTTTCGCGCAACTCGTGCAATTGTGCGAGAGGATGGCAGGCTGATGCGACGTAGACCAAGCTATTATGAGGAGCATGTTTGGCATGTCAGTGCTGCTGCAATAAGGTTCGAATCCATGATGTCACGATCAGGAGCTGAGTGCTGACAGACTAGGTCTTTTAATTTCTAGTGCATGGCATGTCTCCCGTGCACGTCGGCTGAAAATGACGGTAGCGTGCGCAGGCCTCGGTCTACAAGTTTTTGCCGTCTGTTCCGACGGTCCGAGTTGCAGTGTTTCCGGGTAGAGGAAGATGATGAAGCAGCTTGTGCAGATGAGAAGGCGCAAAAAAGTTCAGGCAAGATAGTCACAGCCCGGCGCTCCACATCTTTCAAGTTTCGGAACTGTGCTGAAGGAACTTAGAGAAGTTCTGCAGTTCTGCAGGTTAAACCTGCCCTGCTCTGTGAGCATTTCTGTTTGGAATTCTGTAGCCGCCCAGTCGGTGATTCCCGATGGCTTGTCCGGTCCCTGACTGGATCCAGATCTTGAGCTTGATTTTTAAGCTTCGTTTTTGCACAAGACAGCATGTGCAATCTGGTCCAGTCTACAGAACCTCAAGTGGCGTTTGGCCCTGTTTTAAGATGTGGCGCATTTTTTCGAGGCTGAGGTGAGGCACTCTGCGGCGAGGAACTTAAGCTGTGCTGAAGGTGTCAGATTCTGTCATTTTCCGCATGTCAAGCCAGGGACCCCCAAGTTTCAGAACCAGTAAGCATGTCTTGTACAGGATGGAACCCCAAAATCGAATCAAGAGCGAGTTTCATGGTATGACTCAGTAGCCGACTAGGAGCTCACCCAAATGGAGTTGTGCTTTTTGAGTAGCTAATGCAGTGTTGCAACCATGTCGATCTGGCCACCTGCCTCACACCCCTTGTGCATCCAGCATCCAGTTGCATGGCATTTTGGGAACCGGAAGCCCCTGAACTGTGCTCTCGGTCTCGCAAACAGCACAAATGCCATAGGCCCGGCACAATGTGTCATGCATTTTAAGACCCCCAAGACGAAGTCCTTGGACCGTGCAGCTCACACCTCGGGGACAGGCGGATTAGCAGGTGGGGCTTCTCAACAAGAATGGCCAGTAGACTTTGTGGCAACCCTTCTGCATAGCTGCATCACCGATGTAGTCTCAGTCGCAGGAACTACACAACACCGGTGTCCAAATTGTCAATGGAATCATGGAGTCAACAGTCAACAGGTCAGTCTGAGCTAGCCCCCAGATGCTCAAGCTGGCTTCTGGATGCTCTTTGGGCAACGACCATGATCTTGAGCAGGAAATGGCAGAAAAAGCTTGTGTAAATGAACGCCAGCAACACATTATTTTGGAGAGTTTGGAGTGTCAACGTCTTCTTACCGTCAAGCATAGAATGAATTGAAATTCGTGGCATGGCGATAAGATACCTCCCTGAGCGGCAGCATGCTTGCTGAGTCTGCATTGTGTTGCTCTGTTGCAAAGTTGCCGATTGCGGATCAAGCTTTGCCTAGTACCAAAGTTGACAAACAGCCACTGCGTTGGTTTTTGGCTTACCATGTGTTCGAAAGTCGATGCTCTTCAGGATGTCGACTCGCTGGGGCAAGTTTGCACAATCTGCCTGGCAGGGCTCTCGCACGCTTGGTGAAACACCGTGGGAAGCAGCGGTGGTGTTCAGTCCTCCTCATGGTATTGGCCGGAGAACTCTTCATCCCATCAAGAGCTCCGACATGTGGGTTGACCAGTTCATGTGCTCGGATGTCAATGGCTGAGCTGACTTGCAGAATTGACCAAGTGCTGACAATTCATTGACCTTTCGCCTTGGAACCTCTCGGGTCAGTCCTCCTCGTCTCCTCGATCAGTTTCTTTTTACCACTCTGAGCCAGCACTTTGCACAGTGACAAAATCCTGTTCGCCTTGGTTCGCTGCTGGATTTCTGGGCGTGGATTTCCTCAACTTCTTTTCTTCTGCAAATACTTTTTGCACCCCCAGCCCCCCTCAAGATCCACGTTTTTCAGTTAAATAGGATGTGTATTCGGGAAAAACCTCAGAATCAGGATCAGTATCTCTAAATCGATACATGCCAAAACTACTAGCAAGGATCCTTAATTCCATGTAAAGCAAGCAGGCTAATTTTCGCAAACTTCAAGCCAAACCGACTATTATGCATTCCTAGAGAGGGGCCGCTTCAAAGACCGTGCTAGGAAGCGCTAATAAGGACACCTATCCACCGTTCCTAAGCATAATCTTGATTCTTAAGGAAACCTGATAAGTTTTTTCGCGCGAGAGTCTAGGGTCAGTACAGCACTAAGTGCGCTTGTTATCATGAGTTGCGTGCTAGAAGCTCTTGTCCCAAGCTTATGATGGTCCTGCAGGCAGCTTCCCCTCTCAATTCTTGAGAGATTACCTTTACAAGGCGGAAGATTACTTCTCAAAGGGCCCAAAAGAACCCAGTGGGTTCCAAGGTAATTAGGGAGTGACAGTGATTAATTAAGAAAGAAACAGGGATCTCATCGATTTTCTGTTGTTTCACTGTTTTTTAGATGACTTTCCACGGAGTATTGTTGGAATTAGGAATCTCCTTCACTTCTGTTTTTTTGCACGTTTGTTCTTGTTTTATGAGGGATGTGATCTCTGTGTTATCTTGATAAAAGAAGGATATGATTACAACTCGGGACTTGTTTTCTTTGTTGGATCTTTATCAAGGAGTTTTCCATGAAACGTCCAAAAGAAATCTAAAGGATAAATTAGTAAGGATTAACGAGTTCAACCGCTGTTTAACTTTAAGTAGAGATCGCATTTTTAGATTTAGATAACAAATTGAATGGTACCTGCTTTTCGAATGGATTTGCAAGGCAGGCTTATCTCATTCTTTCATTCAACTATCACCGCTGATTATGAGCATTTTCAGGCCACAGCTCTTGGAGTGAAGATTGAGGACTATCACTGGCCACAAGCCCCCAGAAGAGATTCCCCAAACGCCAGAGCCAAGATTCAAGAAGTTTTTCTGAGAATCGTCAATCTTCAATCCAGGGGGTGTGGTTGAACTTTTCCAGATTTCGCGGGACCAGGGCGCATTAAGGTTTACTATCCTGGGCTTGGCCGAGATCCATGCTCAACTGCCCAACCAGGCCCAACCACATATACGGCCTTAAGGCACGCCGCAATTCCTATTCCATAATTTCTGATAACCCTTGAGAAGGTAGATCTTTTGGGGGGATGCCACTGGTTTTGGCCTGCTTTTATCCAAGTTTGATCTGGCCAAGAGGCGCCAACGAGATTTGCGCAAGGATCGGATTGAGAACACGAGCTCGCGGCATCGTTGCAGGTACAGCTAGACCACATGTAGGCGCGTGCATGCACACGTGCGCTGCGATCGACAAAATGCGTGACCAAGTTGTGGGATTCTCTAGGTTGAAGCACGTGCAACGTGCATGCGAGCAAGTTTTCAGATGTTGTGTGAGAAACTTCGCATCTGCAAGCAATTGCCCCTCGTGACATGCAGCAGGTGGCCGAGCTATGTCAAGAGGCTGGTGGTATTCATGCTTTCCAAAGCCTTCAGAGGAAAACCTTAGAGATGGACTTGTCCGTTTAATGCAAGATCTTTCCGAAGGATGTATATACACTTGCCATCAAGTTCTCAAATGGTGGCCAGTTGGTTGCATGAACGCCAATGAAAGCGTGAGCGCCCTCCTTGCTGCAATGCTCAGGCAGGCCGCTTGACCGTAACATTGGGGCTCTCAGAAGAAAAGCAAAGCAAGTCAGAGGCCAGGATTCCTTGCAAGTTGATGTCAATGACCAACTCAAGTTTTGCTTTCAGGCGTTGGCCATGCGATTGCGCCGCGATGTCTCTGCACTGAGAGAGGCGACTGTGCTGCATCTCTTTCTTCTGGGACATGCAGATGTCTTGCATTGCGAAACATCGCAAGCCGAGTACAACCTGTTCTTATGCTGGTCCAGAACTAGCAACGCCAATCAGCTACTTTCCATCAGCCGTTATGGCTTTTCATGGATTCAGGATGCCAGCAATCTAACAGCTAGACGGTCTGGGACAGCTAACATGATCGACATCTTTGACAAGTCATGACATTCCCGGCCATCTGTCAGCAAAGAGGCTGAAAGCCCCCTCAGCTCACTGAAGTTGTAGAAGGTTCTAGCCCACCCAAGAAGCCTGTCAGAGTCCTGTCAGCCTGGTGACGAGCAGGAGAACAGACTTTGCGAGGAGCACGTTCGCTTGGAGGTTGCATGGTTTACTCAGCTTCTTTTTTTCGATGATTGATCAGACGATGTGTCCTGCACAGATTGTAACGCCGATCATGTAAACATGCCTCTTGCGTATGTACTTGTGTGAATAACACTAGCGCCAGACTGCAAACGTGGCACGCCTTCGGTCGGAGCTGCCGTGTCCCCAGACCGCCGTACAGCTGTGGCTTGTACTCCATTTGAAGGGTCAATACAGGGGAAAATCCTGCCAGTGCAGATGCAGACAAGACAGCAATCCTCTGGACAATCTCCTTCCCGCAGACAAATTTGAGATAACAGTTGACATTCTCAGCCTAGCAAGCATGTCGGCAC